GACTAGATTAATAAATAGTCCTTTAAAAACCTAATTTTTCATTTTAAAAAGAACAACTCCATGAAATACTAACCCCTACTACTTACTTCACTTTGGCTTCTTCAAAACACCAAATGGTTAAGAGTAAAAATTATTTGAATAAATAATATCATTTTGAAAGCTTTCATATTTGAATCTCTAAATACATATATATAACTAAATCTTAAGAGTCAGGACTTGAATTCACAAAATCACCAGCATAAATGAATACAATGTTGTCTTTTTTCCTGTAATCCACTACTCAGAGTTCAATTTTTATAATTAACAGCTTACTCAGGATAGCTTATTCAGTAACTGAACTGCAGAGATTTAGTTTTATATGATTATGTTTACATACTGATCATTACCCACATTTATTATAATGTTCACAAAGTCAAGCGATATAATTAACTTCACAGGGCAATCTAATAGAATCAAATTATATATACATAATACACATATTGTGTGTGTGGGTCTGTGTGTGTGTGTGTATGCTGTTGCTAGCTGCCATTGAGCAGGCCTGCGACTGATTTTTTGGAAGCAGATCATAAGTCCTTTCACACATGTACACGAACACATTTAAAAATGTTTACCATATTTTTACTCAGATAATGCGCGCCTTCTACGTTTGCCTACCATGCCCTCCCCCGCGAGGTATTTTCGTAAGCATGCTAAGCTAATTTTTTTACAGCAACATGTAAAAAAAAATTGCATAAAAATATGGTATATTTTGGAAAAAATATACATGGAAAATATATACATAACATGTGCCATACACCACAATGTATATACAATTGCTGGTACAAAGAAAATGTTAATTATTATTGTCATACATAACTCAAAAGAAGAGGAAATAGAAATGTTATGAGTAAGAATTTGAGGGTAGAGTAAGAAAGTTGCAAGACAGACTTCAGAAAAACAACAAAGAAGACTTTTCAAATAACCCATCCACATATACATAACAGAAAACAAAAACACACCTATAAAACACATTTTCAGACTGTAGAAAGGAAGATGGAAAATAACTGATTAAAAATTATCTAAGAGAAATGATAAATTGAAACTGAAGGGTGAAGAGGGCAATCTAAAGTACATACCTACAATTCAATCTCTTTCCTATATTTTAACACCTGTATTAGTTTAGAATGACAAGATTCAGAGGTAAAAACTCAGGGAGTTGAAAAGTAATTCTTTAAAGAAAAAAAAATGTTATTAAGGATAGTTATGTGAAAATGTCACACTCACACCACACAAACACAGAATATTGGACGAAGAGAATTATTTGAATAAAATTTATTCTAATCAGAGACAGCAATGTACTTTCATGGACAGCAACATGAACTACATTCTGGTCTTTTGTTAAAAAACAGTCCCTGCATGTGATGCCAGTCACTTACAGGTC